CTCAGGGAGTTGGTAAGTCAGTCGATGTCGGACGACCGTTAGTCGGATATTAAAGCCACCACAACTAGATTGCTGCGTCATTACCTCTTATATCAAGTTCCTAACGTTTTGTACGTCGAACCTATTTTAGGACCGGCTTAGTGAAATACAACCCTCCACTGTGAAACTAATCTACAACAGACAGATAGATAGATAAATCTGGTGTCTAGAAAATATCTGAGGAATGCTGAATTTGCTGAAGAAAATCCGAGTTGCGAGTAACAGAACGAGTATAAAGAGGTCATAAAAAGCTTGTCTAAGTTTATTTTATTTGATATTTGCCACAGAAGAAAAGTCAGAAACTGAACCTTAGAATGGAGCTGAGAGTTCTATCCGACAATAATTAAGTAACTCTGAGGAAACCACTTTTAACACATTAACGACGGAAGCGTCCAAATAAACTTACAGTCAGAAAGCGTCTGGATGTAGCCACAATTGGGTAGATCTCTATTTCAATACACAACTTTAATACAATGAGAAGTGCTAGAAGTCTGTGTTGGATTTTTTGGGTACCTTTTAGTACTAGTGAGCAAGCCAAAATGAGCTGACTCATTTTATAGTCCACGAATAGAAGGTTTACCAAATCAGAAAGCTCAAAATATTCAATCCGACGTGTATAAAGGCAGCCATTTTGTTTTTCCCCAAAATTATCTTCACTGCCAGCCTGATATCGAAGACTTAAAGAATTACTTAACAGCCGCTACTTTCTCTGAATCTTCACTGCCAAACTCTGATATTGAAAAAATTACAGACTTCACTTATTCAGAGACTACGGCAAACATGGTCAACAGTCTGCCAATTTTGAAAATCTACAACTTTTACGAAGTTATCTTCCAAAACCATATGAACGATAAATAACAACCACATTACCGTAATTAGCAACCAATGAACAACTGATGAAGATTTTATAAATTGTCTCTTCGGGAAATGGTCTCAAAATATACCAAAACTGATTGCGGAATTAGATAAGACAGATTTGGTAAACTTAATGCTACCGTAAACATAGAAAACGAGCATTGCACAGGACAAGAAAAGTTTGTACAGTTCCTGTAGATTAGCGAAGGGAATATATTTATTTTGTAAGAATACAAAATTGTGGCACAAGGCCTAAGGGAAAGTGGGGGAAAAGCTAGTCTTTCGCTAGCTAACCTATTCCTAGTTAACCACAATCATGACCTATTCATTCATTACAATTACACATTCACCACAAGAACTCAACCCACACCTTTCAATCCTGCACACACCACAATACCACATATTCACAAGGGTCCTACAAAACACCCCATGAATTAAAATGTAATATATATATATATATATATATATATATATATATATATATATATATAATTTTCATGAAACATGATATGATGGGGAGGGGATATGAACCCCAACAAGAAACTCAAAATGTCAACCAAAGACAAAACGAAAACAAAACAATGTTAGTAGGAACCGTCCACCCCTCAAAATAATAGTGGCCTCTGTATTCTATCGATAGATAGAATCAAGAAGCACACTCACTAATGGAATGGGGAGGGAAAAATAAATGACAGAATGGGAAAATCATAGACTGATTCAGCCGAGATTAAAAAAGGGGACAAAAACAAAACGAACCAGGCTCGCCATCATTACCCACCTTTCACTGAAATCTGTCGAAATCAAACGCTTTCGATCAGATCTGATATTCACCTTAGGCTGATGCTTAAACAAAACAATCGGTTCCTGATACGAATAACGTTCATTTCGCAAGATTCCCTCCTTTAGCGACATCCACACGGGCATTCTTGCCATGGATAGCAACGCAAAAAACACCATCCGTTTTATCCCGGAGAATGGAGGCGACACATTGTCACACGCGTACGCGAGATCGATGGACACGAGCTGATCGGGAGCGATACGAGCCCTCAACTCGCCAACATAATACCAGAACGGGCGCACCTTTCCAAAGGCTATTACCATGTAAGTGAATGTAATAAATTCGACTGGAATTCGAACTCGGCTCTCCGATTCCCCAATCCGAGCCGCTATCCATTACTTCACTGTAACTAATCACCCAAAATATCGCTGTCATTGTTGATGAGTTAAGATTGAGTTACGATTAATATACGTCGTCTGTACATCATTTTGTGGTCTAATCTGACTCTTGTAAATATAGAGCATATCAGGAGGAGTGTGGTAGTTTCTCGAACAGTACAAGAAAATTTTCCTAGCACCTTTAATGGTAGACCGTATATATACTTTAACGAATTTTCTTTTTGAATATTTAATAAATAGCAGCATTACCCAGCTGGTCGATCAGAAAAAGCATTCAATTAGAATGGAGCAAAAACAGCATTATGTTTTCATGTAACAGAGTCTATATTATTCAATTTCTTTAAAGGACTTTCATTAAAAACATTTTGAATTAATGCAGTTACTAATATAACAGAAGTAGTCTGTATTTATTCAATCAAAGTTAGCCAAGGACATGAAGGGTTAAAACAGGCAACATGAAGACCCACTTCAGACCAAAATTATTTTGAAGTTTTTGAAATTCAGTATGTTAGTGTGCTACCAGGAATGTAAAAGATACATTTATAAAGCAATTGTTTTGTTAAGTTTGATGAAAATTGGTTGAAAGATCAATGAAAAATAAGAAAGAATATAGTAAAAATCGTCATTTTTCGCTATTTACGCGGGTTGTCACTATATGAGTGGACTCAATTATCAAGTTAAATAACTGCTAAACAATCAACTTATTATTGGCTACAATTGAGTGAAGTTTGTATTAGATTGTATGAAAATTGAGGTAGATTTAGGGTAAAATTTGTGTTGAATTCGATTTGTGCTGAAATCGATTTTTCGTTTTTCGCTAAACGCAGTGGAGTAGAAATAAAAATGAGGGATCGTTGAGCTCGTCATGATGTATGTAACCTACATACCGAGTTTGAACGAAATCAGAGGGAAAAAGTTAATGTATCGATTTTGATCGGCTTTATTTATTTTTTTAATGATTTTTTTAAAAACATATCAATTTTTTTATGCTAAGAACCTATCTTTTATATTGTACAATGTATGTGCCAAGTTTGGTCAAAATTGGTTAAATGCATCTCGAGTGAAACGGTTATCACACAGACACACAGTCATCCTCTGTTTTATATAGAGAGATTACGTCCTTAGTAATTTTTTTTTTTTTTGGCTTCAATGACTTCTCCATATTCATTTTGCTGCATTTGGTGAAATTATTGTTTTCTTTCTAAGGAAATAAAAAATAACATTTTTCAATACATGATGTCGATGTCTTTTCAGGATTTAAGCTTGTTATTTTTTTTTTAAACTTTGTAACAAATCCTATAATTCTTTCCTATTGGAAACTTTATCTTTCATAGTCAAGAATTATCGTAATCTTTCCGGCGGACTTTAAAGCGATTAAATCCAAAGATTTGTTTATTTTTCAAAAAAATCTCATAAACTTTCCTTTAAAAAACTCCCACGTGGGGAATACTTATTTCCAATGAAAACCGACTTTCGCTATGGATAGTGGTTCTCTAATTATTTTTTCTTGTTCCACATTGTTCTAAAGTATCAACTTTCCAACTGTTATTCTTATTTCCCACACAAATTATTTTCCTTATATTTGCATATAGGACTTCATAAGGGAAAGGTGTCTCCGATAAGATTTAAACTGATGAGGAAACCATATGTTTAAGCGATTACCAAAGCTGGTACAAATGACTTTCAAGGTTTTGAGTACAATAACTATACTGAAAAATGAAAATAAAACTAAAAACCTCCAATAACATTCGCACTATATAGATTAATCAAATCCCATAACTCCAACGCGGAATATTGTGTGTAAAATTTTAAGTCTTAAGGAGAAAAAAATGTATCTTAACTAAAAGGATAAAACACAAAAAAAACACATTTTGAAAATATATCGTGTTTCTGAAATACGATAAATTAGAGAATGTCAATAAGTCACAAGTTTCGCCAAAAAATTGGCCTGTATATTGGCAAATCAACACCGAGCAAGAAGACATTACTTTCTCCAATGTTCATCAGTATAAGTCGTGTTGTACGTGTCTTCTGGCATAGGAGAGTTTCTCTCGCTGAATATAACCTCTCCGTCACTGACAAGTAGTCGACAACATTTCCCAACTGTTGTCAATAAAATACATAATAAAAATCTCATGCGTTGTGTTATTTGAGAGGGAAACCTTCTTGATGAGAAGACGGCTGGGATTGCCGGGAAGTGAACGTAGTAAAAATAATAATTTTGACACGTTTTTTGTGAGTACAAAGATCCAACTTTGCCAACATATCACTTGAAAAGTATCAACAGCAGTAACAGTATAATGAGCAGCACTTAAAACTAGAAGAGACAATAACAGTATAATGAAGACTTAGACTTTCCAGACTAAATTATTGTTATGGGACCTGACCCATAATAATGGACTATTCCATACTTAATAAATACTGCGCCTCAGGAGTAGGCATGATGTGAGTCAGTAGTTCAAGTCGTCAGTAGTTCAAGTCGTCAGTAGTTCGGAGTCAGTCAGTAGTTCAAGTCGAATCAGTAGTTCAAGTCAAGAGTCGAGTCAGAGGCAGTCCGAAACAGAGTCGCGTTCAGACAATTACTGTACTGATGCGGCATTCACCTTGGACGGATTGAGCTGGCTTCTTCCTGTTATGTGAAGAAGATTCTTGGGATAAATTACAGAAGTAGGGTACCCAGGCCTACTCGGATAACGTTCTTGCTTGCCGCGGTATTCCTACAGACACAGAGACAGGAACGACCAGAAGCCGCCGGTTACCGACGCAGACGCTCCTTGGATTTTCACCAGAGCCCTTGTTAGCCGGCGTGTGTGTCAGACCTGTCCGCCTTGGGTGGCCCTACCAGGAACGAAGTTCCGAGCAGCATAGCTCTGACACTACCGTTTACACCCCCCCCCACCAACTGTGAGGTAAGGGTTGGACTTTGGGGGCTTACAGTACCAGGTGTTCCCAAGCGGTCCCCCATCTAAGTACTGACCTGGCTCTACGATGCTTAACTTCGGTGGTCGTACGAGAACCGGTGTTTCAGCGTGATTTGACCGTAAGCCGTTCAGACAATTACTGTAAGACATTGGAATAGTAGTGATACTGGTCGAGACTCTACTAAACCTGATTGTTCATACTAACACTTCTACTTCTCTGTATATATTCCTGTTTGTAATATATCTGTGTTATTCCAAACCTGTGTTCGCGTTCTTCTTTATTGGTTCTACCTTGGTCTATCATCCGGGGTACAAGGAACCGGACCATAACAATTTTCAAGAAGGTTTAGAAGGAAACTCTTATCAGTACGAGAAAGTGCAACGTCAAGGCATATGAAGAGTTTAATTTCCTGGAAAACTGTTTTAAGAAAAAGACTTTATATATTACAAGCAACATTAATTGTTCAGTCATTGAATGTTGTATATTTCCTGTATGGAAACGGTTAATCTAACCATTACCATTATTATGGCAGCCTTTACCATTGCAATTAACGTTGTTCGCAGTGCAACTGATGTGACAGCAAGTGACATTTAAATAACCGTTACAGCCAACTTCATTTAGTTTCTTAACATAAAACAAACCAACTTGGGGAGATAGATTATCATGATTTATGCTGATATGTCACCCCTGAGAATAAAACCTCAAGTGATCATTCTGGATGAAGTAATTTAAACCTGCAAATTCGGGGTGGGTTGGGGTACATCATGGTTAGTAGCATATAAAATAGAATGAGTGATCCGAGTTCAAATCCCCGGTGAAGCTGTTAACTTCATATTGCACTTATATCCCTGGAAAATATATCAACCCACACGGCGATACCATAAATAGTAGGGTAGAACGGGCTCTTTAGATTTGGTAGGACCACATTACTACAGACAGAATAATTCTTCAAAACCCCGCAAGAAACCATCCCACTTACATTCCCAAGAACAAGCCTGGCGATTCACGAATAGGAAAGGAAAAGAAAAATGTGGCGAGCCATTATCGTCTACGTCGTGAAGAAACATGACATTTTTTTAGAAAGTTAAACCGAAACACAGTCTAAGATATTTAACGACAAAAACAAAATCAACTTTAAATGCCTTTTAATTTTTGATGCCGAAGTCAAAGATAGATAAGGTGGCTGATTGATGGATTCAGGTTGAGAAACAGACGACATCAATGACTTACAAAGTTCTTTAGGCAAAGCAGACGACAAATGACAATTTAATCCCACACATTTAAAATCGTTCAGAAGCCGCCGAGTTGATCACCTCAATCGCGTTTAGAGTTTTGACGCATTTTAACGCCAAAGGCGCGTGATCGTTCAAAGTGTCTTTTATCGGCGAGCGGTTGGCAAAAGAAATGTACAATGTCGCTGTTTGGTGAATTTCGATAAGCAAAGGCGGAAAAGACTAAAAAGTCGATGAGTTAGCTGAGCATTGAGAAAGTTCAAAGAATTTCAGTTGTTATCCCCAAAAGCATTCACACGATTAATATTTTTATATACCTTAGTCTTTTCCCATCAATGCCAATGTCTCCATATCGATATTGGCCTTATTATAATAATCGATCATTTATAGTTTTTTCCTGCATATGTACATCACAGTATTTTAATAAAACCCTATATCAACCAATCTACATCTATCTATCTGTCTATCTATCTCTTCATATATATATTTATTTATGAATCAATCGATCTCATTCATTTCACGTATGTCTATTTACACAGGAATGATCATATCTATCTATCTATCTATCTATCTATCTATCTATCTATCTATCTATCTCAGTCCATTCATATCTATCCATCTGCTTCTATCACTATATCTATTTAGATATCTATATCAGTCTGTTCTCATCTATCTATCTATCTATCTATCTATCTATCTATCTATATATATATATATATATATATATATATATATATATATATATATTTGCTAAAACAGGCACAAAAACCTAGGGCTGAATTCGTTAGTCATAAATTTCTGTGAACCATAGTAGTAAATTGGGCGTTCCTTTTATTGCCTGTCTGTATCTCTGTCTCCCTCTCCTCTCTCTCTCTCTCCCTCTCTCATGCCCTCTTTCTCTCGCCATATTTAGATATATTTACGAGCGTGCCTGTATATATATATATATATATATATATATATATATATATATATATATATATATATATATATATATATATGTGTGTGTGTGTGTGTGTGTGTGTGTTTCTGCAAATCGATGTGTATCTCTTGACCCAACTAATCCATGTTTCATCCTCTGCCGTAAAAATGCATAAAATCAACAAAGGTTCAAACAATTGTAAACAAAACGTAGCATTCAATTTCTTGTTTGTTAAAAAAAAGACTAAATAGACAATTGTTTTCAAACAAAAGACTTTATTCAATGATCTCAACAATTTACGAATTTTTATTTCAACTAAAATTTGAACGTTTTACCATTAGTAGATTTCAAACATTTATTTTTTTAAAAGTTAGGATGTTTGTCTCCGTATTTAAAAGAAAAAACTTGCAGTTCCAACGAATGATTTATTTTTATGGAAATATTTCGACTAGCAGTTGCCAATCTTGGTCAATCTTTAATTTGAGTAAAACAATCTAGTCGAAATATTTCCATAAAATTAAATCATTCATTGATATTTTTTTTTCTTCTTGAAGTTTTTTCTTTTAATTTATTCTTTTAGACAAGTATTTGTCTTGTCTTCTACTTATACGTCTTGGAAAATTTAAATTGTAAAATTACTTTGTGGAATGTTTATTTTTATTTCAAGATTCAATCTGTCCTCGATATAGTAAATAAAATTCATATCAGGAGACTAACGTTAACATGAGAATCACTACAATAAGTTAGCATCGACCCATCCCAAATCTTTGTTTGCTGGATGATTGAAAAGGTCATCGTTCACTAACTATGGGAAGATGTTTCCCAGCAAAAGGGATATTTTTCTAAAATCCATACAATAGAAAAAAACATGGACGTGACGTGTGTCATATTGTGTCCCACATCGATATACAGGGTGTGCCAAAAGAAAATACAAACAAAGATATTCAGAAGAAAACAACTGATTCTCTTAACGTCCAGTTCACACACCTCTCCGGTCTTCTGAACAGGAGCAGAAGTCTATCCCTTGTTTCCCATTTAAGATTATGCTTAATTCTCCTTCAACTCTATGCTTCTAACTTCGCCTAAACTCTGGAGTTTTAATTAATATGTTTTCTTAATGTATTTCTTCCTCAATAGGAGTAGATTTGTTCGTCTATCGCCCGGTTCACAGACCTCCCTGATCTTTCGAACAAGAGTAGAGGTTTATCACTTGTTTTCTGTTTAGAATTTGGTTTCACGGTTCCTTCTAAAGTCCACTTCAACTCTATACTTCTAACGTTTCCGTCTCAATAGGAGTTGCTATGTTCGTCTGTCACCAGATTTACTATCCTCCCCGGTCTTTTGAACAGGAGTAGAGGTTTCTGTTTAGGATTGGGTTTCCGGTCCCTTCTAAATTCCACTTCAACTCTAAACGTTTCCGTCTCAATAGGAGTTGCTAGGTTCGTTTATCGCCAGGTTTACTCTCCTCCCCGGTCTTTTGAACAGGAGTAGAGGTTTTTGTTTCGGATTGGGTTTCGGTCCCTTCTAAAGTACATTTCAACTCTAGACTTCTAAAGTATCCTTCTAAATAAGAGTTGCTAGGTTCGTCTATCACCAGTTTCAGACCCTCCCTGGTTATTGAACAGGAGTAGAGGTTTCTGTTTGGGATTGGGTTTCCGGTTCCTTCTAAAGTCTACTTGAACTTTAAACTTCTAACGTCTCCGCTTAAACACTGAAATTTCATTTCCTATTTATTTTTTATTTATTTATTTTTCCTTAGTAGGTGTAGATAAGTTCGCCTATCGGCCGGTTCACTTTCCACCCCTGTCTTTTCCGTTTACTTGCTTCCCTGGTAACAACGAGCTTTAAAAATTTAAATGCAACGTCAGTCGCCATTTTCTGTCTTATAGAATCCCGTTCATCTTTTGTCCGTTCCTCGATCCTCCCTATACTCAGGTTTTTCTCTCACTTTCACACCCTGGAAGTCCCTGCGTACTAGTGATATTCCAGCCTTGTTTGGAGTAATTTTTTTTTTTTTAAATTAGATTTTTGACTAAATTGAAGCATGAATAGAAAGATTTTAATGTTGGAATTTTAGGATATGCTTTTATATCTTTTTTATATGCGTTGTACTTGGTGGGAAGTGCGCAATATCTGTGATAGGGCTAACATATTCAGTTGTATGGATATGAATTTATAACCCCTGAGTCTCACGCTTTTGCGACCATCAGACAAACTCTGATGATGGCTTGTCTGATGATCGCAACAGCGTGAATCCCAGGGTTACAAACTCATATTCATACAACTGCATATATATATATATATATATATATATATATATATATATATATATATATATATATATACGCAAATATATGGATATAGATCCGACAGTATGAAGAAAAAATATACTGAAAAAACAAACAAAAATCCTAATATGCAATTATGCTGTTTTAATGTTAATATAATTCCAACGTCGGACGTTTCGGTCTAATATGTCCTGAAGATGGTTTATTAGACCGAAACGTCCGACGTTGACATTATATTAACATTAAAACAGCATAATTGCATATTAGGATTTTTGTTTGTTTGTTTTTTCAGTATATTTTTTTCTTATATATATATATATATATATATATATATATATATATATATATATATATATATATACAAGTATAGGATTGGTGTATACAGAATAAATTCCAGTAACCAACAAATACTATTCTTAAAAGAGTGCTCAATACAGAGTAGAACAAATATAATTATTCATGCGAAAATTATAACATAAAAATGTTATAACGTCACTACAAAAATAGCCATTTTGTTTCAAAACTTCTGGTGTCTTATCAAGCGATGGTGTTGAATGTAGAATAAAGGGTTTTAAAAGGTTCAAATCAATCAAACATCCTTCGCTAAGGGAAACGCTGTTACATAAGCTGGAATGACCAATCTAAGTACAAGAATATGAAAATTCAAAAAACTTGACAAC